TTCTTATTTATCTTTAACTAAAGTTTATATATATTTTCTTAAAAAAGAATTTAAAAAGATGATCATATTTAGTTCCTTTCCTCATCAATGCTATTAATCTCATAATTAGTGTTATTTATATTATTTTCTTAATTAATTTTTTTTCTTTATTTAATTATTTATTTGAAGAAATTAGTTATTATAACTTTATAAGAATTACACATGTATTTTTACATAATTGATTTGTCATTTTTAAATTTTTTGGATCATTCTTCATCTTAAAGTTTCTATTTATATGTAACAATAAAGCTAAAATAGAAAATGTGGGGTGACACCTTCTTAGCAATAAATATTTATTTATTCTTATCAATGTTTCTGACATTTTTTGTTATTTTTTCCTTCAAATAATTGTTGCCTCGATTTTTAGTTTTAGTTTTATTTTTTTTAGCATTTTCTAATTTTAAAAGACTGAAAAATTCATATTGAAAATTTATAAAATAAAAAAATGATTTATTTAACTCCTATCATCATCAATATTATTATTAATTTCTTTTACTTCTTTCCTTTATCTTCATTTCATCATTAATGTAATTTATATCATTTTCTTAGATATATATATATATATATTATTTTATTATTATTTTATTTTATTTTATTTTGTGACATTTCTTAGAAGTTAGGATTACTATTTATTTAATTTTAAAAAATTGAATTCTTTTGTCATACTAAATACAACATGTTTTATTATAATTACATTCAATATATTAATCAATATGTTGTACGAATGAAAAGAAAATTATCATTTCACAAAAACAAAGGTTAAAATATAATTTATTATGATTAAGGAAAGATAAAAATATTATTCCAATATCCATAACCATATTTAATACATTAAAAATTAATTGAAAAGCTGTAAATGGAAAAGGAATCACCATTTAAGGAATCATTATTTTTAAATTTTTGGATCATTTCTTCTTCTAAAAGTTTCTATCCATATGTAACAATAAAGTTAAAATAAAAATGTAGTGACACCATTCTTAGTAATAGATACTTATTTATTCTTATCAATTTTTTCTGACAATTTTGATTATATTTTTCTTTAAAATAATTATTGCCTCGATTTTTTTTTATTTTTATTTTTAACATTTATTTTTAATTTTAAAAGATTGGAAATTTTATGTTAAAAATTTAAATAATAGAAAAAATGATTTATTTAACTTTTATCATCATCAATACTACTACTTTATTTGACGTTTTTTCTAAATCTTCATCTCATCATTAATGTTATTTATATAATTTTGTTAAATCACTTATTTTTTCTTTTTTAACTCTTTTATATATATATTATATATATATATATATATATATATAAAGTTGGATATGTAAATGATGATGTGACATTTCTTAGAAGCTAAGATTACTATTTATCTAATTTCTCAAATTTTTGAGTTCTTTTATCATACTAAATACAATATGTTTTATTATAATTACATTCAATATAGTAAACAATATGTTCTAGGAATTAAAACAAAATTATCATTTCAGAAAAATAAATGTTAAATTATAATTTTATTATGATTCAGGAAAGATAAAGATATTATTTCAATATCACATAACCGCATTCAATACATTAGAAATTAATTGGATATAACTGTAAATGGAAAATGAATCACCATTTACGGAAAATAAATGTTTGCAATACCATAATAATTAAGGAGAGAGTAAGATATTATTTTAATATCCTAATTCGGAACTTTTAATCTACTACTCAATTAAAAAGAAAATGCATTTAATAACATTAAAAAGTTATTAGTTTAATATTTTTTCTCATTCTACTAATTCAATTCACTCAAACTTAATTTTAAAGATAAAATAACAGCTCCATTTTAATTGTATCAATATATTTCAAAAATTATCGTGAAAAGGCTTTTCTTGCACCTTATTTTAATTTTCATATACTATTATTATTTTTTCTGTCATTTTTCAATGATTTTTTATTTCGATTTAAAATTTAATGTTTATTCTTAAAACTCTGATGGTACAAATTAAGGTGGAGTAGAATATAATAAATGATGATTCTTCTACTAAATAAGAAGATATAACAAAATTGAAAGGGTGAAGTTTTTTTTTCAAAAAAATAGATAGGAAATTCTATTAAGGTATTATTACGTCATTATTCAATATATTTTTAATATAAATTTCATTTGCTGATGCATTTGTTTAGTACTCCCTCTGTCCCTAATTACTTGTTCACTTTTCCTTTTATAGTTGTCCCTAATTACTTGTCCATTTTGACAAATCAAGAAAGAGCAATTTTTTTACCTATTATACCCTCAATTAAATCACTAATTACTTTGAAAATTGCAGAACTTTTCATCTACTTATAATTAATAGGGGTAAAATGATAAACTACTATGTCATTAATTGATTTCTTAATAAATGTGTCAATTTAAAATGGACAAGTAATTAGGAACAGAGGGAGTATTACAATGTTATTTGACATTACGAGATATTTCTTAGACATTTAAGGAGAATGGTACACCGAAATATATATTATATATTAAAGGATCAACTTCATGCAATGGAAGAATTTGTTATTAGCAAATATATTTTAACTTATTTGATAAAAAATATATTCTTCCTCATTTAATAGATGTAAAATTTGAAAAGCTTTATTTTTTTCACAATCTTCATAGTACTAAAACAAACAATAATATTACGATTAAACAACAGAGTAAATAAATTAATCAAAAATATTTAATTTTTAATGATCGCGAGAAGTGCGACCAAATTCTCTAGTTTAAAACAAAAAGGTAAAATTTAAATGGGTCTACAATAGAATTCATAGAAATCCAACTTGAAAAATTATGTTAAAAATGGAAAATAAAAAGTGAAATAAATTTAATTGAGAGTCATCCTTCGTCTGTCCCATTTTATGTGACACTTTTTATTTCTCGAGAATCAAATAGTTTAAGTTTGATCGTAAATTTGCGTATGGTATCTTCAATCTTTTTTTAAATGAAATTTATATATTTGTAAACTACGTAAAAATCAAAATATTATAATTCATAATAATTAATAATTCAAAATATTTTAAAGATCTATGAAAAATTTAAGATCAAAGATAAACTAAAGAGAGTAAAAGGGGAGAATGGAAAGTAGAAAAAAAGGAAAAAAATGAATATATAGAGAGAGAAACTGAGGAAAAAAAGTAAGAAAAGTAATTATTCATGTGGGTTGTTGTATATGTAGAAAGACACGTGTACAATTAATGAGCGACAATGAATTTTATAGTACAATTTGAAATGCTTTGTGTACAACTTTGTAGTGCCATGTTCGTCCTCTAAAGTCTCACTTCTAATAAGGAGTAATATAAATAAGAAGTATAAAATAAAGTTGAATAATTTTACAATATAATTTCTCAATGTTGGATGATCTTTTGAGATATTTACTCGAAAATTAAGAGAAATTTAACGGTTTTGAAATTATAAGACTGTAAGGGGAAAATGGATCAATCCATAGATAATATAAAAGGCATCTATGTGTTATACATATTACATGTGTCTTTGTAATATGAGTGGGGTAAGCTTAAGAAAATTACATATTTGTCCTTGTTAGTCCTTCCTAACTCCCTACATAGTACATGTGTCTTGATATGAGTGGGGAGTAGTACTTGTGTAATGAGGTGGGCCCCAATACAGTACAACTTGTATTACCTTTGGTACATCTATTTGATGTTGTGTTAGTCCTTCTAACTCTCATTTCTAAATAAGAGTAATATAATATATATATATATATAAAAGAGTTAAAAATAAATAAATAAGTGATTTAAGAAAATTATAGAAATAACATTAATGATGAGATGAAGATTAAGAAAAAACGTCAAATAAATTAATAGTATTGATGATGATAAAAGTTAAATAAATCATTTTTTCTATTATTAAAATTTTTAACATAAAATTTCCAATCTTTTAAAATTAAAAATAAATGTTAAAAAAAAATTGAGGCAATAATTATTTTAAAGAATTTACACGCCAAGTTATAATTAATACTTATGTATCATCAATGCTAGTACAATACTTGTTGAATAAGGTGGGCCCTAACATAGTACAACTTAGATGCTAATACAATAGTTGTTGAATAAAATGGGCCCCATAGTACAACTTAAATTACATTAAGAACAACTTTTTGGAGCTATGTTAGTCCTTCACAACTCTCTCTTCTAAATAAGAGTAATAATATATATTACTATATAAGAAGAGGGAATAACTACTTTATAAGATGTTAACATGTGTTCCAATAAGAAGAGGGAATAACCAATATATTTATAAAAAGAAATGACATATAAAATGAAATGGAGAGAGTATTAGTTTTTGAAAATGGAAAAGGACAAAACACATATAAAATTAAAAGACATATAAAAAAAGTTGGTTTAACTCTCAAACATAAAAAGTAACATATGTTATTAAAAACTTTAATAAAAAGTACTATAATTTACAATAAATAATAACTTAAAATATCTACAAGACAACAAAAAAAAGACTAATTTTTGTACTGCTTGTGTCACATAAATTAGGATTCGGATGATTTTAAAATTTTAATTTTGGTTATACATTATAAAATAGCCGAAAAATTGAATGATATAATTTTTAAAAAAATAACCCAATGAATCGTCCTATCGATAACCCTAATGTTACTTCTACTCTGTTTATTTTTACTTAAATTTAGAAAGATATGCTTCATTTCTACCCTCGATCTTATTGCTACATTTATTTGCTATTTAAAATTGAAATTAAAAAGACAAATGACAAATAAGTTTCTATATTAGCTCACTTATGAGCAAAATATATTATAACAATCTTTACTAATTTTATAACAATACATAAACTATACTCCCTCCGTCCCATATTAGATGGGCACTTCCAACTTTATACGGTGATTAAGAAATCATTAATACATTGGAAGACTTTACCATTTTGCCCTTTGTTTATATCAATGCACATTGAAATGAGTTACAAAAAATACACATACAATATAGGAATGGTCATATTAATTGTAGGGATAAAATGGAAAAGAATTAATTAATTATATCCTAATTTAATAAGTGCTCAAATAATATGAAAAAAATATTTTTAGTAAGATTCTCATCTAATATGGGACGGAGAGAGTAACAATATAACTTTATTAATGTTGATGCCCGGGCTTTCTTTACTAGTATATATATATATATATCCCTAAACTTGTGTACTTAAATCTAGTGGGAAAAAAAGAGAAGAAAAAAGGAAATGAAGGCGCCATCTAAGATTGACTATCCTAGAATTGGATAATTCTCAAAAAAGATCATCTATTCTTATTCTCACTTAAATCTATATATATTCCTACTTAAAAAGAATCTTTTTAATGCTACTCTTTAGGCCTTAAATTAAATTAAAATAAAATACAGTTTTAATTTAAATAATAAAGTTCTACGATTTCTGGCAAAAAAAAGAAAAGAAGCCGACCACTGCATAAGTTATTATCCACTCAGAACAGAAGCAATCTTTTTTCTGATCTCCAAAGCAAGAATAATATTGTGAAAGACAATATATTACATTAACAATTAAAGGAAAAACATGATATGCATTTATGCAAAGTTATGGTCACTTAAACATAGTAAATTATAGATAGAAATCAGTTATCAAAAGTCAAAGATCACATGAATATACTAATACTATGACTGGCATAGAAGTAATAAGTGTCTCAATTATTATCTACTAATCTTCTATTTCTATTCACGATTTTCACATCCTTCTATCTAAGGGCATATCATCGATAAGTGAAAATGTGGCATATCCTAATTCTTACCTAATCATGATCTCTCCTCGTTAATGCTTATTCAACCCATCTCTGCCTTTTATCAATCTTTCTATATCCAACCTCTCACACCTCTTTACTGGGGTCTGGAGCATCTACACCTTTCATTTTCACTGTCCAAACTATCTCAATCTCCCTTCCTTCATCTTGTTTGTGTGTCATATCGTAATTCCTACCTAATCATTTTCTCCCCAATACTTATTTAACCTACCTCTGTCTATCATCAATCTCTATATCCAACTTCTCACACCTACTTGCTTGGGTCTGGAGCATCCACACCTTTCATTTTCACTATTCAAACCATCTGAATCTCCCTTCTTTCATCTTGTATGTCACAGAGGTCATCCACACTTTGTCCCGGATAACCTCAATACTAATTCTACCGCTCTTAGTATGCCCACACTTCCATCTCAACATCCTGATTTTCTCCACTTACATCTTGATGAACTTGTGAGTTTTTCTCTAACCAACACTTTGTCCTATATAACAACATTGATCAAATCACCATACTATAAAACGATAGTACCTTTTTGTTACACAAACCACCGTTCTATAAAACTTAATACAATGTGTGATATTATTATTGATTTTCTCAGACTAAAAAATAATAAATAAAATGATAATTTTACCGACTATAGAAATAGTGGGATGGAGAGTAGTTTGCTCGAGACCAAATTTCCCACACACTATTTCTCCACTAACACGTGTCAATAAATGCCAGCTTCAATTACACGGCATATTCCTAGTCATCAATTGCACATATTTTTCCTATTTTACCCTCCACCCCCAAAAATATAGCCTCTATATCCCTTCTCCTTATATCTGTCTTCACCCCCACTCTTTCTCCTTCCATCTCTCCATTTTCCCCCACTCTCTCTCCCTATCCTAAAATATTCCCTCATTTTCAAATTTTGCTCAACAATTTCAATTCTAAGTCAAAGTTTTTTGCTATTTTCTTGGTGGGTTTTGATCTAAAGTTCACTTTTTTGAGGTTAATTTGTTGAATTTTTCGGATCTGTAACTGGGTTGTGAAGAATCTGTTTTTGGGGTTGTGGGAGTTGTTGATTTGGTGAAATTTTTGGATCTAAAAGTGGGTTTTGAAGAATTTGTTTCTGGGGTTGTGGGAATTTTGTATTGATTGACTTTTGGATTTCAAGTTCAGATTTTTTTCGATGTCGTCAACGTATTGGTGTTATAGATGCAATAGATTTTACAGAGTATGGAGCGAGGAATCGATTGCTTGTCCTGATTGTAACACGGGATTTGTTGAAGAAATTGAGGCTCCGACCCGATCCACGTTGTCCGGGTCACGGCGTCGGCGTATCCCTCCGGTGGTGATGCAGACGGCTGCGCGGAGTACGGAGCAGTCTCCTGCTTCGGGTTATGGTTCCGGGTCAAGTCCGGGTGTTCGTAGGAACCGGAGGAATACTGGTGACCGGTCGCCGTTTAATCCTGTGATAGTCCTTCGTGGTTCTACCAATGGAGGTGGCGCGGGAGGGGAAGGTGGTGGAGGCGGTGGAGGGGGGTTTGAACTGTATTATGATGATGGAACCGGGTCGGGTTTGAGACCTTTACCTACGAGTATGTCTGAGTTTTTACTCGGGTCAGGTTTCGATAGGCTTTTGGATCAGCTAGCACAGATTGAAGCTAATGGTATTGGAAGAATGGAGAATCCACCAGCTTCAAAAGCTGCAATTGAGTCGTTGCCAACAATTGAGATAATTCATTCTCATATTGTTACTGAATCTTGTTGTGCAGTGTGTAAAGAGGCATTCGAGTTAGGCACTGAGGCCCGCGAAATGCCCTGTAAGCATTTATACCATTCAGATTGCATACTCCCATGGCTTTCGTTGCGCAATTCGTGTCCAGTTTGTAGGCATGAATTGCCTTCAGAGAGTCGGGATGTTGTCGATCCGAATAGAGCACCAAGTGAACAGAGTGTAGCAACAAATAATGAGGTGGAGGAAGCTGTTGGATTGACAATATGGAGATTACCTGGTGGTGGATTTGCTGTTGGGAGGTTAGGTAGGAGAGGTGGGGAGAGAGCTCTTCCGGTTGTATTCACTGAAATGGATGGTGGTTTTAATAATAATAACAATAATGGAGTTCCAAGGAGGATTTCATGGGGTTCTAGAGGAAGCGAATCGCGACAAAGTGGTGGCTTTAGGAGGTTTTTTGGTAACTTGTTTTCGTGTTTCGGTGGTGTTGGTTCATCAGGGTCAAGCTCTAGTTCAGATTCTAGGATAAATCAGAGCAGAAGTAGTTCAATGTCATCTGTCTTTCTTGCTACAGCAAGAAGGCGCAGAGGCTGGGGTTTCGAAGCTAATAATTGAGTTAGAAGATGATAACTTGAGTACCGGTGGACACGACAAGTTTATCATCATTGTAAATACACTGGAAGTGAATGCTGGCTCTTCAATGGCACGCAAGAATTTATTTTTGATATTTATTAAGATGATATTTATGCAAATGAGTTGAAGATCCTATAGCAGGGGTGGATGACATTGGAATATATTAGTGTAAGAATTGGCTCCCTGCAGTGTGATTCTTCCTTTTTATTCTTTTATCTGTCCCCTTTTAAGATTTAGTGTCTTTTAAATTCAGCCCCGCTTGTTCGATAATTCTATTGGAACTAATGAAGCTTACATGAATTCTCAGTTTCTTGTATCATGGCTTCTTTTTTACTTGGAAATTCAGGTACGTCCCACAATAGGGACCCTGCAATTAGTCTTGTCTTGATAGTTAAGAGACTTACTTTTGATCATGTAATCAAATTGGTCATTGAAGCTTATTATAAATTGTAGATTGTTGTTCCTTTTAGCAGAATTCTCTTTGTTCTCTACATTTTGATGTCATTTCTAGAAGTTTGAAAGCTATCTACTATCGTTGATTGATTTCTGCAGAGGATAGACTCTGTACATATGCTTAATATGATTAATGTTGAACGTTTGTATTCTTGGTGTTTCGGTTTGGGAGGGAAGTTTTTTAAGTGGTGTCAGACTCATAGGTGATAAACTCTTGTAAGCATCAGTTACAGCATGGAAAGGTGAAATGAGGTCGAAATAGCAGGCATTGTTATTGCATACTCTGATGGTAACATCAATTAACCGGCTGATAGATATGTTGATTTGCTTTTTGAAAGTTAGAGGTTATCGATAATTTAAAGTGATTTTGATTGATAAAATGAGCCTATGGCCCAAGGGGGTAAAATCTTGTGCAAAGTGGGAACCTAATAACTTTTTGATAGGCGTTACATAAGAATCCATGTGTTGATAAAAAAAAAGTGCCTTTCAGTGGTGAAATGCATGCTGATGTAGCTCCAGCCTTCTTGGCTAAGACTTTGTAGACGTGTATTCAATGAGGAAACTTTTCTGGACAGAAGAGTGTTTCTAGCTCAATCCTCCTGGATATGAATTATAAGTGGAGCTGGGTATCAATTAGAATACTTTGAAAAAGAGAGGAGGCAAAGTCGAAAGAGCCCTAGCAGCATTTTATTAGGATGGGACCTATAATAGTCTGGTGTGGTTATCATTTCCATTATTTCTTTCTCTATATTGCTTTGAAGTGTTTTTTCTTGAGCTAAGGGTTTATCAGAAACATCATCTCTATCTCTAAGGTAGTGGTAAGGTCTTCATATGGTCTACCCTCCTTAGACCCTACTTTGTGGGATTATGCTGGATATGCTATTGTTGCTGTTCTGTAAAGTGATCCCATTTGGGATGGTGGCAGAAAACTGAGTTTTATACTAATTTGTAATGACAGGGTATAGCTAAACTCTGTGATATCTCCATTTTCCTATATATAGTTTATAATACGAGTGATTGTTCACGTTCTCCTTTGTTCAATTTCTTAAGGTGGAAATGGTAGGTTTCATGTATGGCTAGATGTGGACCATGAGCTGCTTTGATTAGTTATGAACTCAAGAGTGACAAGTAGATTCTTAGCCGTATTATTCCTCAGCGTATGATACATCTTGGCAGAAACGAGGCATCCAAAAGACAATTCTGTTTTGTAGCAAACAGATTGCCTAAATCTTGTACTATTAGTTATCGCTTATCTGGCAGATTGTCCGGTTATTAATTGATGTTCTCGTCTTATTCCTGGTGTGTAACGTTTGCTTGTATACAGAACCAAACGTGTTTGGCTCTTCCATTAGTGAGTTAAATGCTTATGTAATTGTCATTCGTGTTAACAGTTTGCACTATGCCATGTTATGACAAGAAACTGGGATTTTTGGGACATTTACACCTTTGCATTTGGCCATCAAATGGATCTGTCTCTTTTGAATGGAACATTCAGAAGAATACATGGCTATTTGACAACAGCCTGATGAGATTTTTGGACCACTAGTTGGATTGTTTAAAGTTATAGTTTGAGAACCTCAGCAAGCTCTTTTAATTTACTAAATTAGACCTGTATAACATATGGGGTCATCTAGGCTGAGTGGGATTGTAAATTGTACTGTGGTGATAAATAAAAAGGTGGTTTCTAATGGTGGAATGAATGCTTTTAAGATGACATTGAGAACCTCTGAGAAGAAGCCAGGTGTTAGGGACAAATCTTCTTGGTTAAGAAAAGAAAAGAGGCTGGTTTATAGAGTACTTTAGTGATTTCTTAGGATAGGGGACCTAATAGTCTAGTGGGGTACACACTTTAGAGTGTGTCGGATCAATAAAGTCGGCTCAACACCATGATGTCTCAGACTTTATTGAACGGATTTGCCTGATACACGTTGTTGGTGGAAAGTGACAGATATTCTATGGAAAAGTGTTTTGGTGGGGCAGTGAGTATGTTTTGGTGCATTCCCTGTCTGCTAAGAATAAGAACTAGTTCTTGTTTCAAGTGAAGAGTATCTGATTGATACAATATTTTGTTTTTTAAAGTAACTCCATTAAGCATGGTGGTGTTGTTTAATAGTTTGTGATGACAGGTAATGATGTGGGACTAAACTAATCAGAGACTTGACTTGGAAAGTTTTTGCAACTGAATTTCCATATTCTGAGGGACCTGCTAGCTGCTGTCTGCTTAGCTCAATTATATGTGGCCTCCATTGTCCTAATACACACTCAGGTTTGTTCATTTTCTATAAGATTGTCATGGTATGTTTGATGTACTATAGTGGACCATGAGCTGTGTGGACCTTTGGTTAATTGTATACAATCAAATTATAGTAGTGGAGATCATTTGAGGCTCTCTGCTAAAGGACAGAGATGACCAGAATTCTGATAAAGAAAGGGAAGCGTAAGGCCGGATGGATGTCGTTAAGCATTTGATTTTATATCTCCTTTAGATTCAAAAGTTGTCGTTGGATGTTTCCTACATTGTCGTTTTGTTTTCTTGATATGGAAGAGGACGATGGGGTGCAAATCTGCGTATATACGCCACTATCAACTGCATCGCGTGCCTTGGCATTTGAGTATGTTACGGTTGAAAAATAAGCTAGCATTGGAGCTATTTTTGGTGAAAATTTAGCTCACCTTTGGTACTTGGGTGGAAAAAGGATTCATATAGGCGATACCAATAAGTTGTGATTAAAGGTTAACAGAATTTAAATCTTCAAATATTGAATTGCGATGTGTTAAAATGAAATGATTGTGACTCGTGAAGATTCATCTAGTCGACTTCAACTGACTTGATATCAACCATGGGCGAAGCTAGGGGACGTGAGGAGATTCATTTGACTCTCCTTTATTGAACATTTACATTGCGTCTAAGGTTAAAATTATTTATATGTTATGTAGTGGACATCAAAAAAAAATTGATATTTTGTTGCGTTTACTTTTTTGTATTTTGAATTTTTGTAATATAATTCCCAACTCCCCATACGGGGTTCGTTTATTATAAACTAAAAAGTGGTTAATTGATTAATGATGTTGGAAAATGGCATATAAATGATGAAAGACTATTCAAATTTTGCTTAGGTGACATGAATCTGACATTCCACTTAAAAATTAAAAAAATTGACTTTCTAATCATATTGTTATTTATATAATTTAGTGAATAAACTCTTGTGAGAAATAAAAGATCTTTTTGGACATTATAATCTTCATTTTGGTTATATAATCCGTGTTATTATTAAGAGGAAAAATTAAACATCTATGGAATGACAAATCATATCAAAAAGTTGAGAACGTGTCATGTGCTGACAACATATTTAGTTTGCTTTTGGATTCTTACAGCTTGTTTTTGCTAATTAAATGGAAATTAAGGACCTTAAATCATGGGATTTGTCTCTTAGTAAACATTCCCAAGAATAAGTGGCTAATTTTTGGCATCTTTAAATTAATATTTTTGGACCACCACTTTTTTGCTTCAATGAGTAATAGGAAAAGCAAAAGCTTACTCTATAATTTAATGATAGAATGATGATTATTCCTACATACAATCAAAGTAGTAAATCAACTTTGTACTGGGAATTAAATTTTGTCCATTGCCTTTTTTCAACAAAATTACAATTACTCTTATTTTTGTTCGTGGTTTTCCAAATGGTGTTCAGTATTCTCATTGGACTCTAATTAATTCGAAAAGTACTCTCTTCCAAGGCATCTGTATAAAATAATTCAAAAATAAAGGGAATTTCTTTGCCCGTTAAAATGAGGTAACCCATCCCAACCATAAGGTAACTTATAACAATATGAAAGCTTAGAAATATCCAGCAAAAAGAATACGAGTTAGCATATTCAACACCATCAGGTATTTCTATACGTTTACGAGTATATGCTACTAGTGTATAAATATATTATAAATACATGGCGATTTTTACTTCGCTTTGCCCTTCCCTTTTCCTTTCTTTGCTTCAAGTTTGGCTTGGATACGAGCAGCTGCTGCGGCCTTGGCTTCTTCTCTCTTCTTCTTCTCTTCCTCCTTAGCTGCAGCTGCCATTTCTCTTTGCTTCTTTAGTTCCCTGTTTAATACAGTGCCAACAATTGTTTTGTCGAAATTCCATTCAGTTGCTTCTTACAGAGAATAAAACCATGTTTTTCGAGCTAACAGAAAGAGAGAGATCACTTACTCCAGCCTAGCCCTTTCATCTGAAGCGCTGCTGACACTAGAACCTTTACGTGGTCTACAAGCCACCAGCTCAACCTCGAAAATAAGGGTTGCCCTGTATTAAGATGTTTCAAACTCAACAATTAGATTACCACAAAGAACACCGTCCTGCCCAGCTCAAAACATTGATTGTCTTGCTACCAATCAACGTCATGTTGCTTTAACATGCTGGGAGTGCTGGAATTACATGGAAGTTGGTCTTAGTGACTTGATGAGATGGAAATGCTAAAAAGGATGCCCAGGTAAGGTGAAGTCAATCTACAGAACCCTAGGCTCCCAGACCGGTTTAGAGTTTCACCATTTAGTAGAGGGCTTTATTCTGAATGGTTCAAAGTGGACCCATGATCATTTTCCTAATATAGAAACATTGTTGTTTTTATTCCCCTTGCTTAATAGAGTACATACGAATGTTGGGATCAGGAGAAGGAGCACGAATTCTCTTCTTCAGTTAAAACCTCATAACGGAGACACATCCAAGATTTAAACTTAATGGTTTTAACTTCAAGTTCTTAGAACTAAGCTTATCATACTCCCAAAGTTATGAATTGGAGTTTAATATATGTTCATTTTAGTGGGTTTGCATAAATATATCTATGTTCGGTGTCAATCGCACCTGAGGGTACTATCAGCTATTTCATGACAAGAGACGCTTGCAGCATGTAAAAAAGATTTACAGAGTTAACTTACTCAGGGGGAATATCCGGTGGGGACCCAGCACTTCCATAGGCATACTCTGGCTTGCAGGTAATTACAGCTACCTCCCCAACCTGGAAGATCAAATTAAAAAAAGTTGAGCACTAATTTAAACTCAATGTACAACCACCGCAAGTTAAAGAGCATATCGACCTTCATGGTCCTCAGTGCAACATCCCAAGCCTTAATAACAGAACCAGTGCCTATCTCAAAGGAGAAAATTGTATTATCTTCACGGGTAGTATCAAATACTTCACCAGTATCAGCAAGAGTGCCTTCATAATGAACTGTTTTGTTACCAAAAAACAGGAAAAGATTAATATGCTGAATCTTGACTAAGATGTAGCTATTTCAAGAACTATTAAAAAGAAATATGCGCTATTTAGGAACTAAGAAAATGTGATTTTGAAGATGAGATCGCTGAAACAAGATAGATGGTACGGACAAAATGGTCATTTTCAATATGGGGATCACAAAACAGAGTACTAAGCTTAAATTGAACTTTTTCTTTTAATTGTTGCCAGAAGAGAATTAGTGCAGGCACTGAGACTACACTAGTAGTGCATAGGTCAATCCAGGGACAAAATTACCTGGTTTTCTAATACAAAATATTGATCGGTGTCTAGTATTTCAGTCACAAGCATTAAGGAGTAACAAAATTTAGAAGCTTATGTATGTAAACATGTAATTTCCAGTTCATAAGTGGAAGAGCACAGTTTGAGACTTCTTCAGGTAAAAAAAGACCTCAGATTATGAGGTTATCTCAAACAAAACTTTCCTCAACAGTTACACTTGTCAAAATCTAATAATGATCACTCTTGAATTAGGGATGGAATACTATTACGGCATTTGAATTATCCGCTGAACTTCATGACGATGGATGCAGAATAGCTGGAGCTCCCAATTGAGGCCTAATTTATAGCAGTAACTGTATTAAACGTTCTAACAGTGACTTTTGAGGAATTATTGCTTCAAAATTCAGATCTTTACACCTCTTTTTATCCAATTCAAGTCTCTCACTCAATTTTTCTTTCTTTGCCATAAACTACATTCTTAAAGTATTTTAACCATCAAGTTTAAGAAGAAAGAAGGCCTATTTGCTTTTCAACATCAGCATATCCCAGATTTTGAATAGCTATACTTTCTCCATTTACCCCAATAAATTAAGCAATATGTTTTGCTTTCCTCTTTGATGTTACAAGGAGCACCCTTGCCTTGCAAAGAGGCAGTAACTACAACACTCTCCCCTTGCAAAGTATTGACATCTGTACACCCATGAAGTAACGGTATACACATCTTGTTCACTTAAGGTTCTATGATTGTAGAGGTTGGATTATTTAAAACAATGTTTGAGAGAGGTGATTATTGAACATACCAATGAAGGAAGACACAACATGTATTTACAGTCTCAAACAGCATGGGTGAAGGATGTAATGGCATGAGAGCTACAGTTACACGGTAAGGGCTCATTATGCATTCAAGTGTTATCCTAATAACTGTACAAGTAGCCTGTTATAAGAGACATGCCAAAAAGAAAATGAGAAAAGTGAATGCAACAGAGACAGACAACACAAAACAGAAAGAATGTAGAAGTTTTATGTTAAATGTCAAAAGCAAGCTATGTGCCCATACCATCAACAAGAGGAAGACTCTCTGAGGGAGCAATAGCATCAGGTTTGGATCGTTGCACAATTTTCTTCATAACACCTCCATCTCCAGTTAAATCAATTGCATCACCCATGTTATATAACTTTTCAGCAACCTGGCCGGTAAAGAACATCAAGTCAAGTCATGAGCAGAGGACGTTATTCACATTATATAAGAAACTAACTGCTTAAACCACACAAAAAAGGGGGAAGGAAATGAATGGGAATGTTATGAGAAGGAAATAGTTAAAGAACAATAGTTTTTTTCCCGTAAACGGCATTATGGGAGAATTTATCTACATCAAAGACGTATTTTCACTAAATATGCAAAGGTTCTAAAACTCAACCAGCTTTAAATCATCAAACAGAAACTAGACCAGCATAATGAAGAATGGCAGGGCAAAAGAGAGAGAGTTACGTAACACTTTATGTAAGATTAATGGGCATGGCTGGAACTTTTGAACTGCAAAGTTATCATATTTCTCTTGCAAAGCCTATAACAACTCAACTACTAGTTTGACCAACAATTATTTCTTTCAGCATTTTTTAACTTTTTCCCTTTTAATAATTATAACGTGGAATTAGTCGAGGTGCGTGAAAGCTGGCCCGGACACCACGGTCATCAAAAACAAAGAAATTTATAACATGGAAGTTCTGTAATGACAGTTCTTTTTCCTTTTTTGTTTGAATTTCTCATTTTAGATCATTCTTTCTGACCTACTAAGAAACTCACAACCCTAGCAACAGACCGCGGATAAATTCTCAATGTGCACAAGGTCCATGCAGTCACATGAACTCCTTGTTGGATAACCGACAAATTCCAGAGAGACAGTGATGTGCAATCCGAAATTCACTGGGTAATGATCCCCGCCCTCTACCCTTCTCCACTCAAATACCTAGCTTTTGATTGCAATCACATGGACCCCTTCTCACCCATACATCCCACAATCTGACCCTCACTTCATAGCTAGCCATATAAGTGAAGACAAGGGGGGAGTTCACAGCTGGGAAATGTTTATATGATTAATATATAATCAAAATAAATAGAATTTATCACTACTGACAGCTAATTATATTGAATAATCTTTTACGCAGGTCAATGGGGACACTGAAATTTCATTCTCTTTTCTTTTGGAATTCTCTCTCATTTGCGGCCAATAATATGCTGACTCCAAGAGAGCGCATGTGCCTCGTTTCCCCGGATGATCAGCCCACTTTATATCATAACATTCCTTTTAGAAGAGTGCGCCCTTAAGTTGCCCCATTTTGGAACATAGACGCAGCTTTCTGAAGGTTTTTTGGCAGATCTCTATCCACTCCCAAGGACGGTTCTTCTTCAACAAGTAGACCTAGAGATAATTACACAGAACTAAAGCATCTACTTTGATACATGGAAACTCTGGAAGTGTTTTGCCAGCTGAATTTCACCAAACATGCCATATGCCTTCCTTTGTTGAAACATAATTTGGGAATTATCCATGTCATTATTTGAGCTATCAAGTGACTTGCTCAAAATGTCCTACTAAAAAAACCCTTTTATCTTTTTCAATCTCCTAATAAACTCATTTCTACAAAGTACGAATTATACACCTAATATGTACTTTTTAATGATAAAATTAATACATACAACAACAATAACTACTACGCCTCAATCCCCAATCGGTTGAGGTCGGCTATATGAACTGTCCATATGCATTCTAATCCAAATCTAGCATTGACATACCAAAAAATTATCTTTTTATAGAGAAACCAAACATCAAATCTTTAATAGTCAACGGGTGATTGAAAATTGATCAATCGTCCTTTAAAAAAACAGATTAGAACACTGTCAGAAGCAAAAGTTGGCAGTGCAAGTTAACATGTAAACATAGACACAATCGAATCCAGTATTCAAACTTTATGAGTTCAACCTTAAAGATACTTAGCATTGAACTCATTGTATTTCTAAAATTATGAGATTCGACCTACTATTTGTTACAATTTGGTAAACTTCTACTAGGTTCAGATGAATTCGCAAGTAAAACTTCTACTAGTTCAGAGTGCAAAAAACATTGCAATCAAATTAACCATTTGTATTCTACCATTAACAATATAATGCACAAAAAAATGTTAGGTTTTCCTTCTCAGGAGACAAAAAGAGATAACTTACAGTTCAATTTCGCCGGAGATTAAAAAAATTAAACGGCAGAGGAGAGTTACTCCGGTGTCATCTGAAATTGGACGGCAAAATCAATCGGAATTCGGATCCCAAATTGGAATCCAATTGCTTGTTGTAAACGCAAACAAGCTAAAAGAGGAATATGGGCTTGAAATCCATAAGCCCAACTCACAGGCCCAATCACAATATTGCCAAACAAGGGAAAATTACCCAAATTACTATTGTATAGATTTATTTTTTAAAAACGGAAATTTTCACAAATACCTACTATAATAAACTTAATTATGCTACATAGCTACTGTTTGCATATTTATGGGTTGTAGCTACAGTTTAAGTTGTCTCGTTTGTACAATTCGCGGGTTTGTATAATTTGCGAGTACGCTTGTATGATTAAGATATTTTGTATAAACTCGAAATAACAAATTTATACAAACACAAACATCTGAACTTTAAGCAGTTATACAAATTATATTATACAAAAGTTATACAAATGTGCGAATTATACGAACTCAAAACTCATGTAATTATCACTGAATGTTGGTCGTGAGTGATAATTAACTAAACCTATAGCTATGGTGACTAATTAACTAGTATATGTTTGCTTAACCGTGTATTTTCCCTTAAGAATCAGCAATATTTGTTATGGAAGGGATAAGATCCTTCTATTTCTTAAGTTTGGATCTTTCTTCCATCTTTGAAAATAAAAAATATTTCCATAGAGAGTGTCTTTGCCTCCCCTATTAAACTTAATTTTTGAAATTTCAAGATAGAATCTATTTATTGTCTTGGAGGAAAAAAATAGTATTTATATGTCAACTATAATATCTTAAACATGGTATTTTTTGGATTTTGTCCCATATTTTCACTAAGATTATTCTTTGTAAAAGCTTCGAAAGTCCTTCAACCGTTTGAAAAAAAATTATGAATAAGTTTCAAATGACCAACAAGAGTTGTAGTTTAATAATAGCTATTTGTTTATTTTTAATTAGATGTCTTGAATTTGAATACTAACATGTCATCACTTTTGTTAGGAAGCTCTTAACTCCCTCCCTCCCCCCAAACCCAAAATTGGTATATAGTGCAAGTAGAGGGCTTAACCCGCCTTTAAAGCGACACTTAGTAAGTGTATGCTCACTCGAAAGTTCAAAGAGCTTCCCTTCATTTGCTTCAAGAGAGCCGCACAACAAAAATTAAATTTTATTTAATCGAATTCCAATAGAAATACTAAATATCAAAGAAAACCAAATAAAAAAAGTCCAAATGTCATAGGTCATTGGAAACCAATACATATTTAGTCAAGGAGGCTTTACAAGAAGGTAATTAGGTAATGAGGAATCAATATCATTTTGGATCCAATCAACTTGGTGACTCACATCCAACACCTTTTGTCCAACAAAAAGCAACTTAATGGGCCATGGCTCAAATAATAGCCCACCAACACATTTATTAAGGATGTTACACACGAGCCATAATAATCCATTATAAATAAAGGATAAACTTATTTGACCTAGCGATTTCGATCCACACATTACATTTAATATTTTACAAAAATTACACAACAGATCGAAGATATATAATTTCATAACATATTTATATTTATATATATCTATTTGTATATCTAAAAATCCTAGTTATTACTACACACACATACATATAAGTGATATACATATAGTTGGCTACACATACCATTCAACCTCTACTTTAAAAATGTAAACATCGCAAACATATATATACGATCGATCACACAAATATACTATCACTACAATCAAATACTATATTTGCATTTTTTCAATTAAGATAAGATATTATATGCGCGGAATAGATGAAGTTCAACATAAATGAAACCCACAAGGCATTGTCCATCAACATAAATGAAACCCACAAGGCATTGTCCATGTGAACAAACAGGTCTAGTAACAGTAGAGAGTGACTCATGGATTTTACTACCAATTTTTAAGTTAGTTGGCTAAAGAAAAAAATTCACCTACCCAATTATAATATATTACCATTATTGGTATACACTCTATGTATAACAAAATAAGCATAACGATAGAAATCGAATATCAGATAAAAAATAAAAATATATATATTTTTTAAAATTTAGAACTATTCTGATGGAAGAAATAGTAAATGTTTAGTCAATAAAGCAAACTATATTTATTGCAAAATTGGTCCCCTATCATAGTCCATTCATGTTGGGGTGATTTCAATACATTGACCACAAGGTCTTTAATGAATACAATGCATAAAACATGAATAAGAATTGAGAGTTGCATGTGCTCAATTAAAATCAAACTTCCCATTTTAGGTTATAGTTTTATTTGCTCTTTTCCCATAATTTTCTTATACCTAAGTAATTTATCAAGAGTCACATCTCATTTGCTCACCAAGAAAGAAAAAAAGAAAGAAAAAGAAGAGGAAATAGTGACCAACAACTTGTGTTGCTAAGTAATAAAAATTCATGGATGATTTTATTTGACGATTAATTATTATTTTTTAAATAATAACTATGAGCTATATAACAACATATTTCAAATTTAATTATGTTTTTCGTTTACTTTTATTTGTCCATTATTTCAAAAAATAGATTCACTTTTACATATCAACAAAGAGATGATTATTCGTTTACATAGTTTATCCTAATTAGTATAAGTTATTTATCTACCAAATCATTTTTCAAAATCTAATACTCTTAAACATCAATTTATATATGAGAAATAATGAATTTATACACTAAAAATGAAGTACGTGACCTCATGATCTCTTTATTAAACTAAATATTTTAAGTATATATTTTTTTAAATTGATATGATATTATCTACTGTCTAGTGATATCGACGTTATAAAAATGTTAAATAGTACATTTGATTAGACGTTAGTCATGCTTAAAAAAGAAGTTCACGAAACAAGTTATATGTATGAAAGTATGAATAAAGAGAACAAGAAGTGATGGTTATCATGTTTGCTAGAGTAGTTTTTAAAGAAAATGACGAGGTCAAAAACATGTTGTATTATGTTTGGTAGTAATTTTTTATTTTTTGTATTATATATGAAATTGATATAATAGTTGATTTGTAACTTATAAGTTATTAAGAAATTTATATATTATTTTATGTAGAATAAGAAATTGAATAATTAAACTCTACATAAAAGAATGCATAAATTTTCCAATAACTAATTAATTTTGTATTATTAATTAATATCTTCCTAACCATCTTATTTTTGAGAAAATCAAATCCAAATTAAGATAGCTATAGCAAGTCTTCACAAAAAATGACTCGTGAAGATATTCCAAATTTAGTTGGTGTCAATGCGTCATCAGTTTTTGTATTATTCGAAACATTTTTTTCTTTTTATATTTTTTTCTTTATAAAAAAATAATAATCTCTGTTTCAATATGGTTTTGGAAAATTCGACTTTCCATAGGGTAAGAATAGAAATCTTTCTTAAAAAAATGAAAACTTTCATAGTGTTTTCTTTTTATTCAAAGTAAGAAATTTATTTTCCCGAAAATAATGAACGTTCACTTATTAACCATTCATTGTTTTTGAAAAATTCCATTTTTACAATATAAATTAATTTCACACGTGAGGTCTATGAAGAGTGAAATATACACAAATTTTATTTGTTTTATGTATAAGGTAGAAAAGTTATTTTTACTATACAGATAAAAAATAACTATCAATGTGACACGGCGTAAATTTGAATTTATTTTTTTGTTAGCTTATGATTTTAAAAGAGGATTGTAACTTGGATCGATATCTCGTATCTTTTGTTTTTTTGTAGTGTGAAATTCTCACAACTCTTGTTTCGAGTACGTACGCTCAACGAAATCTTGTTAAAAGTTGTCATATCATTTTCTTCCTTTTTACTCTATTTTATGTAATTGCGTGTTAGTTAAAATCATCTAGTGTCTTTATAATAAATATAAATAAAAATTGAGGATAAAGTAAAGAAAATTAGGGAATGGGATTAATTATAAAGTGATGAATCGAATATTCATAAAAAAAATAAAATCAATTAATTAAATTATTAATTTTTTTCTAATTAGCTAACATCTTAATCAATTTTCATAAAAGAAACATTTACTCTCTAGTTCAAATGATATTGAATTCTACTATTTATATGTAATAGACGATATAATTTGGAAAAGGCTCAAATATGTCATTACACTTTCAGAAAAGACTCATTTATGTCATCCGTTAAAAGTTTGGCTTATCTATGTCATTGTTGTTAAAAAAAAGACTCATCCATGCCTTATTCTTAACTCTAGTTTTACACAACCATTTTTGACACCCCAAACAACGTTTAACACTTTCCAATTGAAGTGTTTGGATCAAATACACTCTTTTTGCTTCTTCTTCTTCCTTAAAAACACCAACAACACATTAAGAACATAAATAACTCCAAAATTTTCAACATCTTCAATTCTTCACGAAGATATTGAAAATTTGGAAATTGTTAATGATCTTTATCTGTCTTTGGTGTTCTTTAAGGACGAAGAAACAAAAAGAATACATCTGATTCAAAAACTCCAATTGAAAAAAGTGTTAAAAGTTGTTTGGAATGTAAAAAATGATTTTATAAAATCGAAGTTAAAAAAATGGCATGAATAAGCATTTTCTTTAACAGTAATGACATAAGACAAGCCAAACATTTAACAAATGACACAGATAAACTTTTTCTAAAAGCTCAATAGTATATTCAAGCCTTTTCCTATATAATTTTATATCGAGTTGAAAATAACGAGTTCAGTTAAATTAAATTTTATATGTATTATGTATAGAGAAAAGAGACAAAAAAAGATAGGATATGGGGTCATTGAATAGGGTTAAAGGGAGGATTGATGGGAAGAAGAATGAAGAATCCCATGTTGTGATCTCGTGAACCTTTGTCAGCCAAAAACAGTGTGTGTACATTTCCCAATGCAATTAGTTTATTACTCTCTGTTTTAAAATATTTGTCATGTTTTACGTTACGAAAATCAATTTAATTAAATTTTTTTGTGTGTGTTTATTTGACTTAACTCTTATACTAAAAATACAACTTTTCTTAATACTTGTCAATATTTAGTAAATCATGTTTTTTCCTAAATATTATTTTATTATTAAATAATTATCTGGACTCTTAAAGAAATAGTGATTATATTTAGATTTTCAAAATATAATCAATA